ATCTTTCACCTCTAGTATACTCCCATAAATGATCTATTAATGCATTACGAAGTGAAAAATGAGCATCTTTATCTTTAATCTTTTTTGTCGAGCTAAAAATTGTTCAAATCGATGATTTTCATCTACTACCATTTCTACCATTGGAGGTGGACATTCTCAATCATCTTGAATTGGTACATTAAGATCATGCACATCCTCGATTATCACGTTGTGCAGTATAATACATGTAGTTATTATATCATGTAGTACTTCTTTTCTTCAAAAACGTGATGGTCTTGCAACAGTTGCAAAACGAGTTTGCACCTTTCAATTTTAGCAACATCTAATATTTTATATTTACACCATTCATTTTTTGAGATAATTATATATTTTTGTATAATTATAACTTATAATAAATTAAATTATAATTTTACATAAAAATAATAAATGCACGAAAATTAATTTATCAAAATTATACGCCAAAGTTAAGATGTAAAATTAATATTATAAAAATATTACATAAATATAAATTAAAAAAGTTAAATAATAAAAATACTAATAAAGTAATATGTAATAGTCATAGAGGAGAGTGACACTATTTATCCTTATTTTGCAGCCAAAAATGGTGGAGCATTGGAGCTAAATTTCTCCAAAAAAATGGAGATGGCCTAAGTGTCCTATTTATGTCAAGGTACATGGGCCCAAATGAAAAACCTTACTCGAATATACCAAAGGTAGCTCCGAGTGAAGTGGCGGGTTACTTAACGTGAGGGACATGTGAAAGTGCAAATCTTTTTCCTTTCAGTTATTTCTATGACTTGAGTCCCAAGACTTTGACCTCTCAGTCTCTGATAAGATCTTTGACTGTAGAAACCATCTATATCATTTTTCTTATTTATTTATTAAAAGAAAAAAAAAGTATTTGATGAGGTAAGCAAAAAAAACAAGAGCAAGAAGTTAATAGAAGCATCACCAGCTAGCTGTATACCACCACCTTGTATTCCCTTTAGCTGCTTCACTTACCTAATACTAAGATTTTTTAAGTTAATAGAGCTGTTCTTATAACTGTTGTTTAGAGTTAAAAGATTTTCTACACTTTTTTAGTTTTAGGAAATACTCTCCGTTAACTTTTACTTGGCACGTTTTGACTTTTCACGCCCTTAAAAAATAATAAATGGAGTGCATAATTTATCATAATACTCATATTAATTGATGTATATTTTATTGGATTTGAGAAAATGATTTGAAATGAATAATAAATACTGTGGGTGTAACAGGTAAAAAGAATTTGTCTTCTCTTGATATGCGTAAATTGACAAGTAAAAATAAAAATCTATTTTTAGTATACATGCCAAGTAAAAGTAAACGAAGGGAGTATGTTATTTACTTCTGTATATAGTAAGTGATTTTTTGGCTATGATGTTTCCTTCTGGCTATGATATTTTTGAGTTAAAAGATTTTCTATACTTTTTTAGTTTTAGGAAATATGTTATTTTCTTCTGTCTATAGTAAGTGATTTTTTGGTCTTTTTTAGTTTGATTTAAAATAAATGTTCTTTTTACATAATTAAGGATAAAATAATTTTAATTTTTAAATTTTTCTTTATTTACATATCCTAATGTATCAAGTAAAAAATATACAAATTTTAATTAAGAATAATTTGGTCAAAATATTTTTTTCTAGAAGTTAGTATTTTTTAAGTAATGTGTCAAAAGTCAAAAGTCAAAATGTCACTTATTATGGGTCGGAGTGAATAATTTATTACAAATAAAAACTACAAAAAGAGATAATCAAAACTAATAATAGGAATAGCTAATTGGCTTCTAAGTTCTAATAATTGTGGCAGCGAGAACTAAAAAGGCACCTTCTAAAGGAACAACAACTAGCAACAAGGGTTTTACATTAATTAACGCAATTCCATAAAATGTTACGGAATTAATAAATAAAAAAGAAATATTGGAAACTGTACTCTCTGATGAAAGAGAGGAAGCACAAGAGAAAAGAGTGGAAGCACAAGGGTCACGTGGTCCTCGTCCGAATCACCCTAAACCCCCTAACCTAATGATCTGTCGCTCCAAATCAAGGCTCGAACCAAGTACGTGGTTCGAAAAATTTCTAACCGTATGAATTTTGAATTTTAAAACGAGAATTAAAATGAATTCTAAATTTAATATTTATATATATTTAGTAAACTTTAAATATCAAATACACTATTTTAGTAAAACCTACTAAGACCGTAGCTAGGCTTGTGCCTGCACTAAAGGTGTCAAAGGGGTGGGCCGGACCGGTTTGACTAAAAAAGTGACCGGTCGATCACCAATCCAGGCCAGTTATCGGTTTTTTCAAATCAGATTTAACGGGTCCGGGCCCATTTGGTGAAATATTAAACTGGAACGGTTACGGGCCTAAGGGGCCGTGACGGGTTTATTTAATTTTTTTTGTTTGTATTTTGTATAACTATCGTAATTTATATTAATATAAAGTAAAAATATAAAACAAAAAAAAATCTTATAAAAAGAGTGCTTGAATAAAGGATGCAAAGGTTTTAAAATTCTTATATTTGAATGTTTAATTAAGAATCTAAGATAATAGAATACAATGAAGATGAAAAAAAATTGCACTTATAATTTGCAAGTTCTTTTTTTATTTCAAACTTGCAAATTAAAGTTTACATTTAACAACAAATAAATTAACGAAAAAAGAGTAAATTCAAATTTTAATTATTAAATATAAAATTATAAATCCAGAACTACAAAGGTTTTGCATTGCCTTAGTAAGTACTTCATAATCAATATGAACTTCTTGGCCATATTCTGGAGTGTTAAATTCAAAGGTTTTCGTAGTTTCATTTCAAATTTTTATTGCATAATAATACTTCAAATTAATCTAACAAACTAAAACATTAAGCATAAATATGTCTAATAATTTTAAAATAACACAAATTGTCTCAAATCAACTTAAAATCTTAAATACGAATTTCTGGAGGACGCTCAAGACAACTCTTCATATGCCTCCTTAAACAGCCTGCGCCCTCCCACTTTCGACGAAGATTTAAGACTCGACCACAGTTCTTGCACTTTACTTTGTGAACTTCTTCATTTTCTTCTACCACTTCAAAGTGTTCCCAAACATATGAGCATACTCTAGAAGCACGGGACATGATTTAACTTGAATTGAGAATTTGAGTTTGAGAAATGAGAGATGAGTGAAGAAATCAAGAAGAGGGGGGAGGGAGTGTACTTATAGTATTTTAAATGGCTAAATTAGTAATTACTAAAAGTATTATTTTTTAAAATAATTGCCCAAAAAGGGTTATTCTTGTAAAATATCCGTTGGGCAACGGTCAAATTAGAAGTTGACCGTTACCAACAGTCAAATGAATTTTAAAAAAAATATATATAAAAAAAATAGCCGTTGAACCGGTCCGGTTAATCGGCTCAACAGTGATTTTTCTTGACCGGGTTTGACCGGTCCAGTTAACCGGTAATGAAAATGTAAACGTCCCAACCCCCTAACCTCCCAAACCCAGCCCTACCCGGCCCCTATCACCGGTCCGGGCCAGTCCGAGTTAATAATAAAAATTGCATGGGGCACCCTATTTGGTCGTCCATTTTTAACTTATATCCGTTTTATTTTTCCGTTTGCATCCGTGCCCATTTTTTTGTTAAAATTATTTTAAAAAGGCGATTTTGCCCTTCTTTAATAAAAGACAATTGACAAACTACAGGACAAAAACTTAAGCATGTTTAGGCTGAAGTTTTAGCAAATAAACTAAAAAAAACTTCAGCTTGTTTAGACTGAAGTTTCGGATAAAACTCAGGACAAAACTGTAGACTGCGTTACAAAAGTTCAGCATGTGTTTGGTATGAAGTTTTAGCAAATGAACTAAATAACTTCAACATGCATTAGCAAAAACTCTTTAGAAAATTACATACTTCAGGACAAAAACTTAAGCATGTTTAGTCTGAAATTTTAGCAAATGAACTAAAAAACTTTAGCATGTTTAGTCTGAAATTTTAGCAAATGAACTAAATAATTTCAGCATGTTTTGTCTGAAGTTTTAGCAAATGAACTAAATAATTTCAACATGCATTAGCAAAAACTCATTAGAAAATTACATACTACAAGACAAAAGCTTAAGCTTATTTAGTCTGAAGTTTTAGCAAATGAACTAAATAACTTAAGCATGTTTAGTCTGAAATTTTAGCAAATGAACTAAATAACTTAAGCATGTTTAGTCTGAAATTTTAGCAAATGAACTGAATAACTTAAGCATGTTTAGTATGAAGTTTAGGAAATGAACTAAATAAGTTTTAGCAAATGAACTAAATAACTTAAGCATGTTTAGTCTGAAATTTTAGCAAATGAACTGAATAACTTAAGCATGTTTAGTATGAAGTTTAGGAAATGAACTAAATAAGTTTTAGCAAATGAACTAAATAACTTCAGCATGTTTAGTTTGAAATTTTGGCAAATGAACTAAATAACTTTAGCATGTTTAGACTGAAGTTTCGGATAAAATTCATGGCAAAACTGTAGACTGTAGGATAAATAACTTAAGCATGCATTAGCATGAAGTTTTAGCTTCAATGTGAAACAACTTCATTCTATTAGCATGAAGTTTTAGATTCAACATAAAATAACTTCATTCTTCATGCAAGTGTGATTCTGAAGATGAATCTTAACAAATTTTTGATTTTTTTATAAAGTTGTTGAGAAGAGAGGAGCAGATCGTTTTATATCTTTTGTCAGGGGTGTAATTGTCATATTATTACGAATTTTTTGTGAGATGGCTACCAAATCAAAAATTTTAAAAATAGGGTACAAGTTAAAATGTGACACAATTATAGGGTAAGGCTTCAAATCTCCGGATTAATACCGGTCTAGACCGATCTGGAACTGGATCAACCCGGCCCGTTAAAGACCCTTAGCCTGCACCCATCCAAACCCAATTAACAAACAAAATAAAAAAGATATCCTACATTAATTATAACGAAAATCAACCACAAAAAAGAGGGAAAAAAACACGAAAGATGTACAGAAAATCATTAACCTGACCCTAGTTTTCTTGTTGCAGAGAGTCACTGCCACTGTTAGCTGTGCTTATTGCTCTTTCTTTCTTCCGCCATCTTTCTCTCCCAAAACTCATATAGTGTATTCAACAAGATTCACTCAAATATCAAAAAAAATCTTTTTTTTTCCATTTGATAGCTGTTGCTTTTTTCAGAAGCCACTCATTTTCTCCTTATATCAAAAACTTCTACTTTTTACAAATTTGATGCTGTCTCCATTAAAGCTTTCACGAACCCAATTTGCTCATTTCCCACGAGAACTCGTTGAAGCTTCTCACGGAAAAGCATTACCCAAAAGTCTCCACTTTTATACTATATAATCCCTTATAGTACTCATTCTCCTCTTCATCTATACAATGAAGATCAAATTATTGTTTCTATTTTTGGCTCATGCAATCTTTTTTCAGCAATGTGTTGCGATTCTTGAACCAATTGATTTCTTGGCATTACAAGCAATTCACAAAAGCTTGGATGATTTACCCGGTTCGAAATTCTTTGCTTCTTGGGATTTTACTTCCGATCCATGCAACTTCGCCGGAGTTTATTGCGATGGTAATAAGGTGATTGCATTGAACCTTGGTGATCCCCGGGCCGGGTCACCGGGTCTTACCGGAAGATTGGACCCTGCTATTGGTAAACTCTCTGCTTTAGCTGAGTTCACTGTGGTTCCCGGCCGGATAATCGGAGTACTGCCGGAAAGTTTTTCACAGTTGAAGAACTTAAGGTTTTTGGGAATTAGCCGGAATTTTCTATCTGGACGGATTCCGGCGGGTTTGGGTAAGCTCCGGGGGCTTCAAACTCTTGATCTTAGTTTCAATCAGCTCACCGGAAATATACCTTGGGCCATCGGAACAATTCCGGCATTGTCCAACGTTATTCTCTGTCATAACCGTTTATCCGGTTCAGTGCCGCCTTTTGTTTCTCAGCGGTTAACCCGACTCGATCTTAAACACAACGAACTTTCCGGCTCGCTTTTGCCAATGTCACTTCCTTCCTCGCTTGAGTATCTTTCATTGTCATGGAACCAGTTAAGCGGTCCGGTCGACCATTTATTGTCTCGGCTAAACCGGCTGAATTATCTCGACCTCAGTTTAAACCGGTTCACGGGCTTCATTCCGGGCAACTTGTTTAGATTTCCTATAACCAACCTTCAGCTACAAAGGAACCAATTCACCGGTCCGATTTACCCGGTCGGTCAGGTTACAATTCCCATTGTGGACCTTAGCTTCAACCGGTTGTGGGGCGAAATATCACCTTTGTTCTCGAGTGTGCAGATTTTGTATCTGAATAATAACCGGTTCACGGGTCAGGTTCCTGGTATCTTGGTAGACCGGTTATTATCGGCTAATATACATGTTTTGTATTTGCAACATAACTTCCTGACAGGGATTGCGATTAATCCGGCAGCTGAGATTCCGGTTCGTAGCTCATTGTGTTTGCAGTATAATTGCATGGTATTACCGGTTCAGACACCTTGCCCTTTGAAAGCCGGGAAGCAGAAAAGCCGGCCTACATCTCAGTGTGGGGAATGGAGGGGGTAAAATGAAGAAATAACACAGAATGTTATTGGATAATTTACGAGGGTTTTTGATTAAATTTTTGTGAAATTAAGGGGTATAAAAATAAAAATCCAAAATGTGAATAGAGAAGACAGATTAGAGTAGCAGGGTAAGAGTTGATCAGTTTAGTTACTTGTAAGCTCTTTTGGGAGCCAAAAATTGTGACTAGCAATTTTTGGCATTTCTTGGTAATCAGATATACGGATTTTACCTTATTAATTATGTTGCAAATTACTACTAGCTTTTTTTGAAATGGAGAAAAGTTCTTTCTTTTTATTTTTAGTTTTGTTGTTAATAGATTGATCAAAGGATGTTCCTCTGAATTCCTTCAATGTTCTCATCTGAATATTCTTCTGCATTAATTTCTTGTTCTTTTGTTCTTGTTTGGTAACGTTTACAAGGCAAGGTTGTGCGGTTTGGGTAGTGCTGTTTTCCTTTTATTCCTGATTACAGCAGCCTTATTTTAGGGATGGGAGTGAAGTGGTAGGAGATAGAGTGGCTTTTTCCTGTGTTTGTAGCTTTGGGAGGGGGGAGGTGGGGATGAGACACTGAACTGCCAGTTATACATGATACAGATTGGACAGCCACAATACAGCTGCATTCGAATTTTTTGTTCTTCGTGGTACTAAACATAGGGACTGTTTGTTTCTTTCAGTAAGGCCAGGACCATGGTAGTCCATCTCCGTTTACCGGCCCATAAGAATGTCACGAAGAAGAGTAAAATGATAAATTTAAAGTTAGAAGATTCAAAATATGAAAAGAAAATACAGTCATATAACATGAAACAGAGGGAGTAATAGTTTTATTTCTAATACAAATGTTAAATAGTTAGGAGTAATTGTTTCTGATTTTCCGTAGAATACGAATGCAAAACCAGTTTTTCTTGAACTAAAGCGAAATGCCAGTAGAGGGAGTACTCTGTAACTCGGCAGGGGCAGCTGCGACGCCGTTGAGCAAAAGAAATGACTGTAGTGTTGTAATATTACACCCACTGCGAAGAATAATAACGTTCATCTTCCATTTTCTCCTTGTATCAAAATTTTGTGTAGTTTCCATTTGCTAGTTTTACAAGTTCTTTTGATGATTTCCAGAGTAAAAGAATGATGAGATTTATTAGTATTTTTCGGAATTTCCCTGTAGGAAAGAAGGGGATGTATTTTTTTTTTTCTATTTTAAGAAAAGGAAAATCTTATTTCCCGAATCATTGTACATTTATTAAACTTTTATGAAAGTAAGGGGTAAAAAGTAAAAATTCAATATGTGCTTAAAGAGAAGAGATTCAACTAAAGGGTAAGAGTATTCAGTTTTATTTGCATGCTTTTTTGTGAGCCAAAATCGTGACTAGCCATTTTTTGGCATTTCGGGTAATTAGATATACTGATTTACCTTAATTAAATATGTTGCAATTACTAGTAGCTTTTTTAAAGATGGAGAATCGTTCTTTCTTTTCTTTTCCTTAATAGATTGATCAAGGGATGTTCCTCTGAATTGATATTTCAATGTTCTCATCGGTATTGTGCTTCTGCATTAATCTTCTTGTTCTTTTTGGGGTTATTGTTTTGTAGTATAAATCTTGCTTCTGGCTTAGTGCTGGCTTCCTTTTATTCCTGTTTACAACAGCCTTATATTTCCGATTAAAGTGGACTGATAAGGATACAGTAGCTTTTGTCTGCGTTTGAAACTTTGGGAGGGGAGAGGTAGGGATAAGACACTGAATTGCCAGAGACAAATTATACGTGATCCAAATTGTGGACAGCCACAACACAGTTGCATCTTAATTCCTTTGTTCTTTGTGCTATTAAACTTAGAGACTATTTTGTCCCTTTGCTAATTTCTTGGTTTATGAAAAAGCGCTCTTTCAGTTCTATTTTACCCAGCAATATTTCTAATTGACACGTGAGTTTAAAAATGTACACCCTTAACATGTCACTTTACTATTGTGGTACTAGGGGTGTTCAAAACCAAACCGAAATCGAAAACCGAATCGAAACCGAAGCTTAATGGCTTATTGGTATCGGTTTAACGGTTTAACGGACGGGGAACGGATTGCATTTTTTTTATTAACGGCTTATCGGTTTGGGGGCGGATTATTCAATTTTCTTAACGGATAATCCGTTAACCCGTTAAGAATATATATATATATATATATATATTCAAAAACCTTTCCACTTCTTCCAGTACTCTATCTCTAAGTTCTAACGCCTAATTCCTAAATAATCAGAATCCTTACGTACTATGCATCAGAAGATCCCAGGCTTGGCTTAGCTTAGCTTATTCTCCCACCCTACAACAAGATTGTTTAAGTTGATGTCTATGGTTCACCTCTGCTTTTGTTTTTTAAAACTAATGCATGTTGTCTATGTTTAATAGAAGAACAACAGTGTTGTGCCACATCTTTTTTCACTCTACAATACATGACACTATATTATTCTTATGTAGGCGTTAAAAGACATGTATGTCTGGACTCAATGTATAATTTTCTATTCTAAATTTGTATGTTAGGCGGTCAGCAAATAATTAATACACGCAATATAGATTGAATTAGACCGATAAACCGCCCAATAACCGCCCGATAAGAGCTAAACCGATACCAATTCGCCCGATATCTTATCGGGTGGCTAGCGGATTAATACATTTAAAAACCGATAACCGTTAAGCCAAACCGTTAAGAGTAATTAACCGCCCAATCCGCCCGATAAGCCGCCCTAGGTACAAGAGCATATATCATGAAAAGTAAAATTTGTTTACCCGTCAGTACACTTGAATTTGCAACGTGATTCATAGAAAAGCGAATTGATTTGACCCAAAATTATTGAATAAGTAATAACAAGATTATAAAATGAAATTAGAGGAAATACAAGTCTGGCTATGAACTTAGCCTCTATGGTGGCAAAGCGTGAACAATATTCAAGAATAAAGACCGAGAGTTGTGTTATAAAATGAGAGCAAAATGTAGTTTTTGTATATAGAATATTTTGTGTCATACAATGGATGTTAATTCCCCTATTTATAGCTCTATTTCGGAAGACAAGATCCCCAAATCAAGCTCCTCTTGAATGAGAATAAAACTGTCATTGATGGCTGCATAACGGTTGGCTATAAATGCAGATATTTTCTGTAACGGCCGCTTATTGAATGCTACCCGATGTCAATACTTTGAACCTTTATCGTCGGCTACTGTCTTCGGAACTCATCCATCGTTTGTCACATGCTTGCAACCGATATTGACTAATTATTGACTCACATCCTACCTGTCTTCAGCTCCACGGGTCTTTCCTTCATTCGTCCAACTGTCGCTAACCAGTTTTACCGTATACAGATAGTCCTCCTATTTTTTGGTGACTATACTTTAGTGTCACCGTGAAATAGAAAAAACCTCTTTCCTTAGCAGGCAAGTTTCGGAACAGTTTCTGACATTTGAAAGGACGCATATCTCTCTGCATTTAATGACACGAACACGTGTTACCCCACGATTTGGCAAATATTTTTGCTAGTTCTCAAGGTAATTATGACCACGATTTTTGCCGTCTATATCTTCTCCACTACTCCTCATTTTCACTCTTTACCTTTTACAACTTCTTCTTCTCTGATTTATCTTAGAACCCTACTGCAAACTTCAACTTTTTCATTTCTCTTCATAAATTTCTCACTATCATGTCTTCTAACACTTCTGCCTTCGAAAATTCTGTCTTTCTCTTCGGTGGAGGTCCAAAGAAGAACAAAACCTTAGAGGTTGATGTCGAGTCTGAACCTCCAACCATAAACACCATCATACCTCTTCATCTTAGCACGAAATCCGACCTTTAAAAATAAAAAGAACCTACAAATCCCAAAAGTGGCATGACACTGGCCTGTTAATAGGTATCCTTCTTCCGTCTGTCCTCCTAGCATTCCTATCGTGAAGGAGGATTGTAATTGGAACAACATTGAAATTCACACCCCTAGCGAGGTAGAAAGAGCCACCTTCTCCAAATCAGGGTTAATGTATGTTTATACATACCCTTTCACTTTGGGCCCTTTTACTTTGAGAGTGTGTGAAGGAATCGACCCAATAATCTTAGAATTTTGCCACTGGTACCAAATATGTTTGGCACAAGTAGGCCCTTCCATGTGGCATACGGTGGCTTGCCTCCGCCAGTTGTGTTATGAGACCGGAAAAATCCTAACTCTTACACACATGATGAACCTCTACTCCCCAAAGTTCTTCCATAGGGGTGTGATAAAACTTAGCAAATGTGGTCATCATGCCCTTCTCACCAGCGTCGATGATGACAACGACCATGGATGAATGGAACGGTTCTTTATCATTGCTATCAGAGACATCCTCCCGGCCGCAGCACCTGCTCTTCCTGAATCATCGAATCTTTTCTGTAAGTGTTCAAATATCATTTTTCTTTTCATGTTCAGAAAGACCTTCCTTCGGTACTAACTTTATATTTTTCTTACTCCATCTACTCACTAGAAACCACCACGGGTTCAAGATATGGCTCAATGGGTATAGAAAACTTTGGATATTACTACACCAGAGTCTCGAAAGTAGAAAGAAATAGCTCCCAAATATGGGTGGAAAGCCAAAAATCATGGTAAAACTAATTCTTCTTCCCTTATTTAAATCTTTCAATATATCTTGGAAACAATTTAACCGTCTTCTTGTGTCACTCACGACATCCGAAGGGATCCGTCATTTGCCCGACATCGAGGCTCTCGATAACCCGGTGGAAGCCGAACTGTTACTGCAGAATGTCCTTAACCAAAGGAGATCTCGAGAATCGACTCGCACTTTCGGTGAAGTTACCTCCTCCCGAAGTCCCCAACCCAAAAAAGGAAACCAAAAAGGAAACACACCTCCTCGGTTGAGACTCAGGAGAAAAGAATAAAAGAAACACCAACCGGACCGGCCACAGTGGTCCTTGATGATAAAGAAGGAGCCGATGATGAAGAGGATCCTCTTCAGAGAAGAAGAAGATCTTTATCAGCTCAACCAGATGCTTAGTCGAGAGAACTTCAAACTCCACCACCAGAAGAAGTTCAAGAACTCTGGGGGAAATGGAAATAGCTGAAAACACTTCATCTCGTTTTCGAATTCCCACAGTCGCTTATGCTCAAGGGAGTTTAATTCCTGACATTTTTCCACCACCAACTTTTGAGCCGATAACACTTACCTCTCCATCTATGCCAGCTGCTTCTTCTCCACCGGTGCCATCCGAACAAATGGAAGATACTCTTACTCCATGGTCTCCCGACCAAGGAAATTTGGGAAATACTTATTCGGCATCCACTCA